TTTCAAATTTTTTAATTTTATTCTTAATAAAAAAAGAATTACTTTTAAAACCCTAATTTCAAACCCTAATTTCCTTTTAATTCCTCTTCACAAGCAAAAAAAAAACAATTTCCAATTCAACAAATGTACGTTGGTTTATTCAATATTCAAAATATAGACATTTTGATTCACAAGCATAATTTCAAAATTCCAATTTCTGATTTCAAATTTCAAATTTCAAAATATAGACATTTCATAATTCCAATTCAACAATTCTCAATTACATGAATTTCGTAATATGACATTAACAATTATCAATTATATGAATTTCGGATTTTTTAATCGCAATTCTTAATTAAAAAAAATTACTTTTAAAACCCTAATTTCCTTTTAATTCCTCTTCACAAGAAAAAAAAAACAATTTTCAATTCAACAAATGTACGTTGGTTTATTCAATATTCAAAATATAGACATTTTGATTCACAAGCATAATTTCAAAATTCCAATTTCTGATTTCAAATTTCAACATATAGACATTTCATAATTTCAATTCAACAATTCTCAATTACATGAATTTCGTAATATGACATTAACAATTATCAATTATATGAATTTCGGATTTTTTAATCGCAATTCTTAATTAAAAAAAATTACTTTTAAAACCCTAATTTCCTTTTAATTCCTCTTCACAAGAAAAAAAAAACAATTTTCAATTCAACAAATGTACGTTGGTTTATTCAATATTCAAAATATAGACATTTTGATTCACAAGCATAATTTCAAAATTCTAATTCCTGATTTTAAATTTAAAAATATAAACATTTCGTCATTTCAATTCTCAATTCTCAATTCTCATATTTATGATTTATTTAAAAAATTCAAAAAATTAAAAAAATTCCAAACCCGATTTATGATTCAAAAGCATACAAATTCAAAAGCATTACAACCCTTAATAATGTGAACCCTAAAATGACATCCTAATTTGAACAATCCTAATAATGTGAACAATCTGAATTTCATCACCACAATTTCATCCTAATTTCATCCTAATAAAATGACACCCTAATTTCATCACCACAACCACACTGACAAAGCATAAACATTCATAACCATATTCAATTCACAAGCAACATCCAAAAATTCAAAAGCAAAAAAATTCTACAAATTCAAAACCATTCGCATTTCTAATTTCCAAAAATTCCAAACCCTAATTTCATAACCACAATGATAAAAACCCTAACACATTTAATAATTCACATGTAAAACCCTAACATTGACAGAAAAATACAACACATTTACAAACACAAAAACTAAATACATAAAATTAGGGTTAATGTCATACCACGGAGAGAGAGAGAGAGCAGAGACAGAGAGTAGACCGAGAGTAGAGAGCGAGAGCGAGAGCGAGAGCGAGCTGAGATGGAGGAGGGTGAGAGATGGAGAGGCTGAGAGATGGAGAGTGAGCTGAGAGCGAGAGATGGCCGAAAAACCTAAGTCTGAAACGTATGCAAATGAGGGGGAAGGGGGGGCTTCGTATATATGAGCACGTTAAAAACGCTGATCGAAAAAGCGTTTTCATTTAAATGAAATCGCTATTCTTAATAGCGTTTTTTCTGGCAAACAATTTGTGTAAAAAGCGCTGTTAAGAACAGCGTTTTTATTGGGAAAAAAAACTAAGGCTAGAAGCGCTATTCGTAACAGCGACTTCTTAATCAAAGTCGCTATTTGTAATAGCGATTTTCCTGTTCATCTACTTTTCCGCTCCTAACAGTAAAAGCGCGAATAGTAATGGCGCTTTAGCTTAGTTTTGGAATTCCGTCAGGAGTTGGCCTAGTTTTGGAAATACAATGTAAAAAAGGCTTATATTGGGAAAAGCCTCCTCTACGGACTAGTTTACAAACCAGTCCAAACCCAGGTCATCCAACAGACTATCATGATTTCATTAATTCAAAACCCATTTTGGAATTTCATCGAACAGGTCATCCGCATACTCTCACCATAGCCAAATTCATATAACAATTATATGTATATATATATATATATAGACAGGGAGAGAGAGAGGGAGAAGCAGGGATAAAAGGCAAAATGGGGCTGGTGGTGGTTGTTCATGGTGGAGGAGGAATCTGGATTAAACTCAATGGTGGTAGATGCGTCAATTTGGGGCTGGGTTTGTGTGAAGGTTTGCGACTGGAAGAAAACAGAGAGAGAGAGAGAGAGAGAGAGATACATACCCGGGGTAATGCTCCAATGGTGGATCGACATTGGTGCGATGACGGTGATGCTCCTGTACCCGACGGCTATGGAGACAACGCAAGAAAGATAGTGTGGAAGGAGGGCAGAGGCGTGTGTGTGTGTGTGTGTGTGTGTGTGTGAGAGAGAGAGAGAGAGAGAGAGAGAGAGAGTCAATATGAGAGAGACAGACAGGCGTGAGAGGGAATTAGAGGTAAAGATTGCATTGACGGTGATGATTTTGAAACCCTAGCAATCCAATTTTTTCCCGACTAACTGTGTCGCTAATAACAAATGGATGCGTATTTTTTTTCCCACTAAATATCTAGTCGCCAATTAATTTAGAATATTTAGTCACTAATTAATTTACAACCCCTCCAAACTTGTAATTATAAATTTTTGACGATCAAAAAAGATAAAAAGTAATTTTTTTTTTATTCGGCGACTAAATAATTTTAGTAGTGAAAACTAACTCTATTTTAGTCGTTGAAAATAAATTTTGGTCCCCAAAGATAAAAAGTAATTTTTTGTTTTCATTTGGCGACTAAATAATTTTAATAGCCAAAACTAACTCCACAACGACTAAAATATGTTTTAGTCGTTGAAAATATATTTTTAGTGACCAAAAGTTTAGTCGCCAAAGATAAAAAGTAATTTTTTGTTTTCCATTCGGCGACTAAATAATTTTAGTAGCCAAATCTAACTCTACAGCCACTGAAAAAAAAATTTGTCACCAATTGTGGCGTTTTTAGTAACTAAATTTTTTTTAGTCGCCAATAATCAATATACCCCGACTAAAAAAAAATAGTAGCTAAATCTTGTATTTTTGTTGGCTAATATAATTTTTGCTCGTCAATTCCAGAACTTTTGGTGACTAAATTTTGTTTAGTTGCCAAAAGTGTAATTTCCTGTAGTAGGTTTGGGCACATGCAAAAAAAATTAAAAGCGCAATTGGGATTTGTGATGTTCCGAATCCTGGACTCAACTGATATTGCGTAGTCAGATGGTTTGTTTTACTTTCGGCCGTTGATTATCATGTTGAGTTGTTGAGATTTCAATTTCGTTCTTACTTAACTTCTCTTAATGTTACCAAGTAACAATTTTGAGGGTGGCTGTATTTCAAGTGTGCAGATAAGATGTGTGAGTACTTTGCGTGGGGAGCGGCTCCTACTAGGAATGCATCAAATATCCAAAGAAGAAGTAAAGCTACTCATACGAAGAATGAAGATGAGAGAGGGTATGATTATGATTTTGAGAGAAACAATGAAGTTATGAATAGATTGGAACGAGTTGAGGCAAACCAAGAAGCTATGAAATTGATTATGTTCACAACCATAGTGTTGGTTGGTTTTACCATGCTAATAGTGCTACTCAAGTGAATGTAACCATTTTTTTTTTCTGTGTGCGTGCGTGTGTTATTTTTGGGTTTTGAATTTAGTAAACCTTAAACTATGAGTTTTGATATGTAAAGCTTAATGAAATTACCTATGCTATGTCAATAGTGATATGCTTCTTTTTTGTTTCTGTCAATGAAAGTTGTACAACTTTGAAGTTGCTTTCTAATTCAATCTTTTCTAATGCAAAAGGATATTGAGATTTGTTATGCCTGAGGCAGGTGTTATTTGAGATGCAAATCAATTCAAATTAGAGATGTGAACTCCATGGCTTATTAAAATTGAGAAAGTCTACTTGATCAATTTGTCTATAAAAAAGGAAATTAAAGTAAATTCATTCAAAAAGCAAAATTTTCTGAATAAAACTTGTATGTTTATACTTGAAACATCTATCAATAGTACTCCACCAACAAATGGATATTGCAAGCAACAAGACATTCAAATTAAGTCAAATGACAGACAAGTATTGTAGGTAAGATTTGGATAAGCACCAGAACCAACTATAAAATTAGGGAAGTGAAAAATTAAATTGCCACCCAACTATAAAGCTGCACAAGCATGTCTGAACATCCTAGATTTGAATCTAGAACCAGAATTACAATATCCTACAACCTCTAATTTCAAACATTATCAATATGATCTCCACATAAAAATCTTAATACTTAGGACAAATATTATCATACAATAAAAATCTCCAATATGATCTTCAAACATTATCCTACAATAATTAAATTGCATATTAATTGGAATAGATCTCTCTAAAACAAATATTAGGACAAAAGGTCTCCAACATAGATAAAATCAACTTCTCAGGGATGTCCATCTACATGACTGTCAACAGGACTATGTGAGGCTTGCGAGACTTGGACTGCAAAGTGTTGAACACTTGTATCTTGAAGCAACTCCTGAAAGGATGTGTGAGTGTATAGCGACCCCGGTCTTTTCTCTTTAGATTATTGTATCCGGACTTAGGTTCCGTGGATCCTGTCATTACTTATTGGTTGTTGTTGTCCTTTAATCTCTCTGTATTTGAAGTATAGGCTGGGTTGGGCGGGTCTGTTGCAGGTTGGTTGATTTTAGATGCCAATAGGGGATGCCCAGATTTTGGCCTTTACGCTCGAGCGGAAGTTTTAACGCTCGAGCGGTCCCTTGACTCATTTCCTCGTCAATCTAGTCAATAATGAGGTTAATCTAGAGAAATCCTTCACGAACCGACGGTAATACCCAACCAATCCCAAAAAACTATGAATTTCAAAAGCATTCTTAGGTTGTCCCCAATCTTGCA